TGTCTAAATTTAATAGGGATCCACAGAACCACATATAATCCATCTGAGTGTCAAACATTAGCTTTCTTTTAGGCTTTAAACCACATAAAACATAAAACTGTTAGTCTTCCTATGCTTCATTATGTCTTAAGAGTATTTCACTCAGGTTTTCTAAGAACACTAAAGTAAGTTCCACAAATTTGACTCTGTTTATGAATCAGATGTCCTCAAAAGATAAAATCAGTGTCTGTGACCAAAAACTACTATCTATCAGGTCCATGTCTTAATTTTTTGTATAACCTATTAAACCACACTTTTTCCAACTAAACTTCAATTCTGTTATTCATTTTTCTTAGTTTGATCAAAATGAACTGAATTTTTTGAGAGTTCCAGAAAGGTGACAGCTTAAAAGCAAACTACTTCTGTTAACTTAGTTCTTTTATTGTCCTTTCAAGTTATATGAGCACCCAGAGGTCTAACAGAAAAAAAAAATTAATGAAAGTGTAACACTTTTTTTAAAGTTCCACTACCCTAAAGCACTTGCTACAACCACAGAATCAGTCCTTTCATAATGGATTGTGTCAAGCTACATAACTCCAGTTCCTCATTTGGTTTCTTTGATTTTATTATGCCTGTGATACAATACTGCTATGGGCAACTACTGGAAATAGTTATCTTCAAGAGAAATAATCATCATCATAATAATAATTTCTGGCATTCTACTGAATTCTAAGTGCTGTCATACATTTTAGAAGTCATTGAACACCTACAGTATGAAGTGTGACTAGGAACATTTCTTAGCACTGTGAACTTAGTCTTGACCTCATTGTTACTTCTTTCAGAATCTTAGCCTACCTCTCTTTAATACAGAACTTTTACTAACCCAAGAAAATGGAACTAGGTCATAACTGATATGCTTTTAAAAGATTATTGGGTCATTGTGCTTGATTTGTCCTGCACATTGAAAAATAATTGCATACCATGGAGTAGTGATAGGAAGTACAATAATACTGAATTATGTTTCCTTATAAGTGTTCCTAAGAAACCTGGGTTTCCATATATCATTTGCAGATTCCTGCTAATACTGTATTAAAAACCTACATAGAGATTAATTACGTTACTTGCATGAAATCTAATTTCTATACAGCACTTTATAATATTTCAATGAATGAAGAGTGACAGAGAAAAATATTAAAGCAATCAAGTAAATAAGATTGCTAATTGTATATTGCTTTTAGTTTAACGTAATGGTGTTAAAATGATGTAGAAGTAAAACATACAAGCTAAATATTACATGGGTTTTTATATGAAAAATCCAATTTAAAAAGGTACAAAATAAAAGACATAATAGGGGAAGAGAAATTATTATAATTCAGCATGGACTATGTATCTAAAAGTGTACCTTGATTTAGAGAATTATGTGTTTTGAATGCTTTTTGGTGTGTAAGTCTGGCTATTAATCTGTGTTTATAATAAGTAATTTGATAAAGATTTAAATCTAATGCTGGCAGACAAAAATGACGCTGAGCCTACCTGGAGAATCTAGGATAACCTAATTTAAAGTCCTTTAATCAAGCCCCTTTGGTATAGCTCCTTTGACATGTAAAATCACAAATCCACAGGTTCCAGGGATTAGGTGTTAACATCTCTTTGGGAAGGGAAGGGAGTGGGCACTTATTCTGCCTACCACACCTAAGGAGCACCTGCTGCCTAGCAATTGGGAGGCAAGACCAGGGTGGAACCTCCTTGGGTAATCTGCACACCAAGACCACATCAGCCCAGAGGACGCCTTCACACAGTGATGGAACCTATGGCACATGCACTATAGCAGGCACGCAGAGCCTTCTCTGCTGCACATGAGCCACATTGCACCAGCAGCCAAACATGGGATAACAATTGTCTTTCTCTAAAGTAAAACCTCAGTATTCAAGTTTACTTGCAGTGTTGGGACTTTTCAATAGATATGTGGGCTGTGGGTTGCAGTTTGGGCAGTCTCTAAAAGGTTCGCCATCAAAGCTTCAGCATGTTCCATCAGAGAGATTAAGCCACTCCATGTGAAGGAAAGACTAGCCTCAGAAGAGAAAAACCAAATATTGTTATCGTCCAAGCACTAGGAAAGGAGAAAATGAAAGGCTGTGTATGTAGGGTGGAGGGCTACTGGTTCTAGTTTAAAAATTGTTCATTACTAGTCTAAGATGGAAAGCTTTTAGACAACTTTACAGAAGTTAGGCAGATTAACTTTATGCCTGCTGAAAGTTATATAAAATGTGAATTTCTATGTTGTATATTTTTCTTTCAGTAATTCTTTTTTATTACATGCTTACAAAATTTCCAGTGCGCTAGATCATGGCACACTGGAAATTAAAACAAAACAAAATACAAACACTAGTGTTCACCATTCAACTGGTTTTAGGAAGACCTGAGCCAGAAGGGAGAATGTCACTCACAAAAGGGAATGCTTGGTAGAAGGTTCCCTAGGAAAACTTCACCAAAAAAAAAAAAAAAAAAAAAAAAAAGAAAAAAGAAAAAAAGAAACCCTATAAAGAAGGCATCAGCTATGAACACCTGCCTGCCCTGGAGTCCTGAATCAATTCACTACACTATCAACCCATTAAGAAGTTTCCTGGGCTCTTTCTTCTCTTTTCACCCCATGTTCTACCTTCTAATCATTGAGCATTGAGAAACAAACATCTGCCATACTCTCCTTCTCAAAGTCAAGAGAGTGGAGATGTTCAACTTATAATTAAGGTCAGGATTTCCACTGTCACAAGAGCCTAGACATTTTAATTAATGGGTTGAGAATGTGCTATATGGTTTAACATGCATACAGGACTTTTGTCATTATGTAACAGTGAGCAACTTGTGAGGTCTGCCCAAGTATTACCTAAGAATGGGACAAGGACAAGCCCCATAAGAACTAACTTTCTTAAAAGAATAAGTGAAGATCAGAATAGAAAGTACTCTGTGATTTCATCCTTCAAGTGTGATTGTTCTGTGTAATATTATATAACCTTCATAGGCAAGGCACATCTACTTGTAGAGTCACTGCATTCTGATTTAAAGCAAGCTTTCACAGGCCTGGCACTGTGGCTTGCTGGACCAGGTAGTTCTTTGTGAGGAAGTGGTCTGTTCTGTGCATTGTAGGATGCTCAACAGCATCATTCCCCATAACATTTCACATTTCCACCCAAGTCATAACAACCAAAACTCTCCCTAGGCATTGCCAAATGTTCACCATACAGAAAAGGTGTAGTCTATTCTTCCTGCCTGTGCATCCAATCTTGATACTTCCCTATCAAGAGCCAAATCTAAAACACCATCACTCTACCCACTCACGTAACTCAAAGTTCTGTGAAAAAGACACTGGGCTCTTAACAGTCAAATGGTACATTAGCGTGATTAGGAATCATCAGACTTCTTGCTTACAGACGTGCCAGTTATGAAAACACTGCTGCATCTGAGGTTGAGAGACACAAGGATCTGGTTCCTTCCATTTCAAAACATTTCTTGAAATTGACTTCTCTCTCCCCAGCTCCCACTACCAATTCTCTTTAGGCAACTCCACTTCCATTTTTGCCGTAAATATCATCTGTCATCACTTTCGTGTCCTTCAAACTCTTCTTCCACATTGTTCTCAAAATGATCTTTCTCAAAAAAGATTTTAAAGACCTGAGATCACCCAAAGTAAAAACAGGCTCTTTAATAAGCCTCCATCCACAGTGAATTTGTTTTCTACCTCCAGCTGTCTTCTTTGTTGCTCCTTTCACAGCCCTGTCATGTTTGGAAAACTCCCACTCACCTTACAGCCTCAATTCAACTATTCAAGTCCTTGAAAATCTCTGAGTCACTCAGGAACCCTTTACTACTCTTTTTCTATGCTCTCAGATAGCAGGAAGTGTGTCTTTACTGTAGTAGCACTTACCTCTTTGTTTCTGAATTGTTTTTGTTTTGTTTTGTTACTAGACTCTTGCCTCCCGAGACAGTATCCTGACTCCTTCTCTGGATGCGACATGCCTCATGCAGCCTGAGGATCACGACCGCACACTTCACCTTATTCAGTCACACTCTCTGGCTTGCAGTAAACTCACACCACACAGCCCTTCGTTCAGTTCTAAACCCTCACACTCTCTCATCTTCACTCACCCCTGTGAGGTCTTCTCTCCTGTTTGCCACGTTCTTCTTCTTTTCCTTCTTGAACACTGACCCTGAAACTTCTGATCATTTTCTACCTCTCAGCTAAGTATTACTTCTTCAGGAACTTTCCCTGAATTTGCAGACAAACATAGGTCCCTTGCTCCAAAGACATTCTGCACTTCTTTTTATACAATTTTGCTTTGATTGTACTGCTGTATACAGGTATAAGAGACATGTCATTACCTTCATTTTCTAAAAAACCAAATTTAATGAACTTTCTACTCACCAATGTGGGAAAAAAAATCAAAATTTTCTGTTAAGCCTGTTAAGCCACAGAACCATTCTGAGGCTTCTGTGGCCCTGGGATTTATGGTAAGGGCATCTAGTTTTCATAGCATTGTAGTCCACTGCCCCTGTTTACACACTCATTGACCAATTTGTGGTTCATTTCACACAACTATATTTTGTTGAGTCTTAAAGGAAATTTTTATAATGCCAAAATTTTGTGGCAGAGTTCATGTTCATAATATTCAAATCCTTCCTGGTTTTATAAACTGTGATGAATTTTTCTAATTACTAGATTTAAATTTCATATTACAGTACTTGAGAATTACTGATGCAATAATTATTTTTAAAGTTCCTTCTTGACTTTTAACTAGATAACTAGACATTAAAGAAATGATAATTCCAGTAAATTATTCACTTAGTAAGTAGTACTCTAGATCCCTGTTGTCTGTAATTAATATAGTAACCACTAGCTGGCGCTATTGATAGGCTCTAGTAACTAACAGGGTGGTGCTTTCTTACAATTTTAGTTAAAACCATTTCACAAATAATTTTTATTTTTTCCAAACAAAATTAGCTTTTTATTAGAATAGAAACATAAATATTAATAAACTTACTCTTTATTAAAGAAATTAGGATTAACAATAACAAAACCTCACAACACTATCCTAAATAACATGTCAAAAATGAAATAGAAACAACAATTATCGTCCATTATTTTTAAATAGTAACATTGAGAAACTACATACCAAAACTCTTGGGATGCAGTCAAGATATGCCCAGAGATAAACTTATAGTCTTATGTGTCATATTAAATAAGAAATAAAAATAAATGAACTAAGGCATCAATTATAAAGAAGCATTCTTAAAACAATATGGATAAAAATAAGAGTTAAAGATGAAAAGTTATACTGATATATACATTAGAAAAAATAAAATCATAAAATATCTAAGTATTGGTTCTTTAAAAAGAGTAGCAATTCTAATAAAAGAAAAACGCAACTAAAAAGATTAGAACCGAAACTATAATCATAGATGAGAAAATATTAGTTATAATTTTATGTACAAATCTGCTAGCAATTTTTAAAATTCTATGAAAATGCATGATTTTCTTTAAAAATATAATTTTAAAATTGATACTCAAGAAATAGTAATCTGTCTAGGCCAAAACCATAGAAGTTTTTTCTTTTAAAGTTCTCAGAGAATTAAGTTCCACTCACTCACCCTGAAAAAGCTTGAGGCCTAAATAGTGTTATGGGTGAGTTCCTCCAAAACTTCAAAAAATAGACTATTCCTATAATATGTACTAATCTAGAACATAGACCAACATGAAAATTTTCATTTTTTGAAGCTGATAAAGTGGAATTCAAAAATGTACTACAGTCCAAGCTCTTCTTTTTCATAAATATAAATCCAGTAATCCCAAATAAAATGTAAGAAATCAAATTTAACATTATATTTTAAAAAACCTATCATGATGAAAAATGATACTTCTCAAGCAGAAATAACCCAATACTGAGAAATCTATAAGCATGGTGTATTGTGATAATAGATCGTAAGACTAAAACCACATGGTAATCTCCAGTTACTTGGAATATGTTTAATATAAATCAACAACTTCCAACAAAATGTTTAGTTGAACTGGAAAACCTGATAAAGACCTTTATTTCAGCCCAAGAGCTAACATTAAAAGCTGGTGAAATATTAGTGGCATTCTTAAAAAGTTAGAAATAAGAGCAAAATCTTGCCATCATTTATTTAGCATGTGAGATATAAATATTGTAAAGGACAAGAAAAAATTATTCATTATACAGAAATGATTGACTATTTACTCAATAAGGAGGATGAATGAATCAGTTCCAAAAAGCTACCAAATAAAAAAAATTACTTGATCCCCAAGAAGCATACATTTATTTTTTTTTAATTCCACTCAACAACAAAGACATGAAATATCTAATAATATAACTCATAAGCATAAGCAGGACTTAAAAATTACTGAGGAACATAAAGGATGCTTTTAGTAACTTTGACATGTGACAAATTCTGGAAGAGGAAACAGTATTACAAAATTAGCAATTCTTCCCCAAATAAACTATACTATTTTAAAGTATAATCTACAATGCTAAAAACCATCAAAAGAATTTCTTTTAAAGCTTGACCAAAATATAACTGAAACTTATCTAGAAGAATAAATGCACAAATGTAGCCAAATATTTTTTGAAAAGGAAGAGTAACATTTATCCCCCTGAAAAGTTAAACACAAGTAAAGCAATAATTTAAATAACATCATTCAGTAACAGAGATTACCAAAAAACAATGAATCCAGAAACCACTCCAAGTATATGTAAGAATTTAATATTTGATAAATGTGGAATATTCAAAACAGTAGAAAAGGGAGTTTTCAATACATGATGATGTAACACCTAAATAAATATTTTGACCCTTAATCACAAATCACATCTATATCAAAAATAAATTCCATTTGGAGTAAAGATTCTAAAAAAATTAAAAAGAAACATGGACAGATATTTATATAACATTAATATGATTCATGAAAAAAATAATCTAATGAAAAATACAGTATGTCTGTATATCAAAGATATCATGAATTAACTTGGTACATATTTGAGGACAGGTAAAATGTCCGCAGCATACAGAAAAAAAAAAAAAAAGGGTTAGTGGTTTTAATATATAATGAGCTCTTATAAACTGATAAAGTGAACACTCAACAGAAAAACTGGCATGTGTGTTCATTCATTATTTTCATATTTATTGTGCACCTAACATGTGCCAAATATCATGGAGGGGCTGAGAATACAACGTTGAAGAATGGAGACATTCATACACAGTCTCTTCCCTTATTCATTCTAGGATGGGAAACAGACCACTAAAAAAAGTAAATAGATAAATAAATAAGGTAACAAACAAAAGACTGAGACAACAAATGGAATGAGAAGTCGGGGAATACTTTCCATAGGGTGCTCCAGGAAGGCCTTTTTCAAAGGTATCCAAGTGCATATCTGCATATCTAAAGGATGCAGCGCAATGGGGCAGCAGGTGGCAATGAAGAGCAGCTCAGTCACACAGAACACATTTACCAAGCCCCTGAGGTGCACAAAAGATCTTGGCATGTTGGAGGAGTCAGCAGTGGCTGCATTATGACAAGTAATCGAGGGGAGCCGAGGTGGGGTTAGATAACCGGTTAGGGTCAGAGTATGCTGGGATGAATAAACCACAGTAAAGAGTTTAGATTTTATCCCATAAGCAACAGTTTATTTGATTCAATTTATAAGAATGGTCATAGTTGCCACTGTGCCAAAAACATATTGAAGTGGATCAAGAGTGGCAGCAGACAGACCAAGCAGGACTGACTGTCACAATATTCAGGTGAGAAAACATACTATCCGGACTAAGTAATGGTACTGAACTTGGAAAGAACTAGAGAGCATAAAGACATATCTGGATAATAAAACTGATAAATTAAGTGCTCTACTTGTCGTAGAGAATAAGTCATTAAAAGGAGCAAAGTTGATTTTCAGGTTTCTGGCTTGACAACTGGCTGAAAGGTAGTATAATTTACTGCAATAGGGAAATGAGGTTTGGGGTAAGAAAGCAAATCAGATTTTTGCAAATGTTCAGTTTGAGAGATCTAAGACAACCAAAGGAAGAAATTAAGGAAGCAATTAGATCTAGGTGAGATATATATATGTGAAAATCATTTCAGGATAGAGATGGTACTTATATCTATGAAAACTGGTAAGATACCTGAAAAAGAACACAGAAATAAAAGAAGGACCGGGAAGTAAGCAAAACTCTCAACTTTTTAATATAATACAGAAGATGTATAATAAAACTGGGTAGTAACACAGAAGGAAATTCAGGAGTGAACCATGAATTGAAGAGAAAACATTTAAAGAAGTAGTGATCAAGGTGAGGAGAGCAAAGCACCCTTTTAGACTGGGAAGTATGGAAATGTCTGGTGACATTAATAAGGGTGCTGTCTCTGTGATAATGAGGACACTGAGTCACTGTGGACTGAAAAGGAAAGAGATTACAAAACACAGACAGCATAAAAGGACAACCCCATAAAGAAGTGTGGTTATAAAGAAGAGCTGAAAATTGGCTATGGATGGAGATGACTTGCACAAAGGAAAATCAAATGAAGATACTGGACTATGCTTCAAGGCTGGAGTACAATCCACTGAGGAGAAAGGGATGCAGAAAAGAGAAAGGGAAAACATACAGGGAAAGTTCCTGAAAACTCAGTCCTGGGTAAAATTCAGAGACAAAAGGAAGGACTGATCTTAGAAACGACCTCTACAGTCACAAAAAAGGAAGACAGTTCCCAAAGTAGCTGGGCCAGTCTTGTGGAAAGATGAGAAGTTTATACATAGTAACTCCTATTTTTCTCGTTGAAATATGAAGTAAACCGGGAGAAGGGGACCAGAGCACTTTGAGAAATTGAAAACATGCGCAGAAGTTTTAGAAACAGGAAACTGAGACTATATAGGAACAGCACCAATTTTAGGTTTCAGATAACAGACTGAAAGAAAAAGTTGTTGCTGGAATTTTGTGATTTTCTTAAAGAAAATGTTCGGTTATCTCAGTCAAGCCTATGCCAGCAGATGGTAAGGTTTAACAAGGATTGGGATTTTTCTCAAGAAATAGCTTGGAAGGAACTGAAGTTTAAGAGCTGAGAGCACTGCATTTCAAGGAATGGAATTATAAAAATGGAGCATGGAATCTAGGCGTGAGAAGACATTGCACCTAAGACAAGGGTCGACCAAAGTGGAGAAAAATGAGGTTAATGAACTAGCTGTCAATGAGCAAAAAGTCCAGGATAGAAATTGGTGAGCAGCAAGTGGAATGTCTGAAATGTATTAGTTCAGGTCCTAGAAGCAGACACTAAGATATGGTTCAACGTGCGAGAGTCCTACTGAGGGGACACCTATGAAGGATAAAGGCAGGGAAGCAAGAGAGGGGCAGAGAGCCTTCACACCATAAGGCAGGTCTGACCCACCTATGAAAGGAGAGGAAGATGGGGCAAGAGCCCCAGACCAATGCAACACAGTTCTAAGAAAGTTCAGCCAGGCGTTAAAAGGTCCCCGGGCCCAAATAGCTCATAGGGGCCTCTTGCATCTCACATAAACGGGTCATCATCAGTACACAGCCTGCTGTCAGTCACTGACAAGGAGTGGCCCAGAAGAAGCACTTCGCAGTGGATTCCCAGGAAGGAAGGGGGCTGTCAGTCACCCATCTTCCCTGGAGCAGATGTGAGAGGTACATTCCTGTGGTCCCCGAACATGGGATTCCACAGAGGTTACCGATTCTAATAATGACAAGGTTAGAATGTGGAAGCAAGGACTGACTCAAAAGGAAAGAAATGGCCAAGAGAAAGTTACAGGTAGGAGAGGACTGAACTCTAGAGTTCAAGTTCATCACAGTTGTAAATGACACAACTCAAGGTTATGTCAACCACTTCATAGTCACTGGGGATACACACAGCTATTAAAATAATCTTCTGCCACTTGGCAGTAACGAGGGGCAGGAGCTAGCATGATAACAGAACTTGAGGTGCAGACGACTAATTAGTCTTAGCTAGTCTTTACCACTAATAATGAAAGATACCAACTGGGAGCAGGAAGTCTATAAATTCTGACAAGGAAGAAAAAGAAACTTGTCCTGTGACAGATTCTCAAAGCCAGGCTTCTGGCAGGAAGGATGAAGTCACGCTCTAGGAGCAGCAATGACCAGCCCAGGGGCCACCTGTCCCCGGCCCTAAGGCACATGGTCCTGAGGGGCTTGGGGTAAACAGATTTGGTCAGGGCGCGGTGACAGGAGGTCTGGGAACAGGCTGAGGGTCAGGAGCTGCCTGCCGATGGTGGCCTTCCCGGCGCTCCGCAGGTCCGGAGGGCGAGGCAGAGGCACCTGAGGTACAGGGCTGCGCGGGCGCTGGTCCGAGGCGGCGCTGCGCTCAGCTCACGGGGCTGCGGGCTTGCCGAGGCCGCGCGGCGCGTGCTGGCGCTCCCGGGCGGCGCCGCGGAGCTTGGCGCGGCAGCTGGCAGCAGCCTGGCGCGTGGTGACAGCGCCTGCGGGCGGGCAGCGGCTCCCGGGGGCGGCCGGGCGCAGGATGGTGGCGCTGCGGGGCGATGGCTTCCCCAGGCTTCGGCCCGCATGGGCACAGCGACCCCAGGGAGGAAAGACAGAGACGGCCGGTTAGCAAGGGGCAGGAAATGCGCACGTGCTGCCACCCAGGAGCCGCGACCCGGGGCAGCCACACGCGCCCTTCTCCGCGCCCGCAAGACAGAACTGGGATCCCGCCAACACGGCACGCGACCAGGTCTCAGGACTTCGCGTCCTTAATTCAGGAAGCCGGACAAAGCCCTTGGGTTTAATAATCCGGCCTAGAAATTCGTTTGAGAAGTCCCCCTTAAGGAACAAGTATGCAATATTTTCAGTGTTCAATGCAGTAATTATAATAGCAAAACAAAACGGGGGAAAAAAGATCATTAAAGAAAAATTGGAAATATTCTATATTCAACAAGTGTCAGTCTTTTTCTTTGATACTATCCCGCTCTTACAATAATGTGGTAAAGTAATACCTAATGACATGGCAAAGTATACTTTATGCAATGAAAAAACTTTCATTTCCATTTGTAGTACAGATGGGTGTCCACTTCTGTGCTAATACACACAACACACATGTATAAAATACTGAAGAGAAACATGCCCAAATGTTAAGCAGTTATCTCCATACTACCACTATGGGTACTGTTTATTTTCATTTATTAATGTTTCTCAGATGTTAATGTAATAGGCATATTTTATAGTTAAAACATACTTGGTACAAGGAATTCTGCATCATTCTATCTACACCCATCTTTATCCTGATTCAAATTAATAAAACTAATTATATAGTATTGTGTATCGAAGTCGTAAACACCAATACCCTACAGTATGGAGAGTCTCCACAGAAGTAATCTTCCTCAACAGTTCTGAGTAAATCACAGTATTACAGAGTAATGCTTACATGTTTAGTTAATTGAAACCACTGTCTTTTCTTTCATGAAGCTACACCTCTCTTCTACTTGAGAAAAAAAAAAGTTTTCTTAGACTTTGACAAGTGTAATTTAATTGGTAATTTCCACAGACTTGGGAACAGCAAGTTTACTAGAAAAGAAAAAATTTTACCATATTTTTCAGCAAATATTTTTATATAATACCTATGTTTTACAGTAACTCAATTTTTATTCTATTTGAAAAAATTCAATAGGAGAAACAGTAAAATATTACAAGAAACTAGAGTCTAAACCTAGTACCTTGGTCTTTCAATCATAATGAATTTAACGTTTTAAATTATTATTATCTAGGGAAACTGTATGGCTAAACTTGACTCCAAGAAAATGCATAAAGGTGATAATGAAGTAATACAGAAGAGTGGTTTCAGAGTTTTGATAGAAAACCCATTATAATTTATAGAAAACCCATTATGATTTCCAAAGATATCTTAAGCCAAAGTGACCTGAAAGTTGTGACACTCATTTATTTTAATGATGATTAAAGGTTAGTTGTTCACTGAAATGTTGGTTTCTGCTTAGATGATGACCTGATTAATTATACCATACTGCAACTTTTCTTTCCTTTGAAGGTATTGGAAAGAATTATTGTCTGAAGGCACACCTTTAGTAAATAAAATATACCGGGAAAAAATTTACAAAGAGAACAAATTCTAGTAAAGCATTACTTCTCAAATCCACACTATTCATCAAATGATTAAACAAAGTAGGGTTAAATAGAGATAAATTAGAAGAGAATTTGTTCCTAGTACTACAGTGCAGCTTTCATGATCATAACAGATTTCAATCTAATTTGACATTTTTGGAATGCCTGTTATGTCTTAAGTGCTATGCTCAGATATTATAAACAAGAAAGAAAAAATGAGGTTTCTATCTTAGAGAAGTGCTATCTAGAAAATTACTTTTCAGTTATTAGAACGTCTCAAACCCTGCAGCTAACCTGAGTCCCTAAATCACCCTGAGGTCCTGCCAAAGCTTTTCTTCTCATCGTCTTTAGATGAGCTTTCTAATTTCCTGACATTCCTTTGCTCAAATTCATTGAGCATCCCACCGTTTCCAACCAGCTAACTCAAAAGTTTTGAAGCTTTGAGAGCAGCCAAAAACTAGCCTGAAATTCTGATTAAAGATATAGCCTTCCTTCTCCAAAAACATGTATAGAAGTACCCTGGAAACTAATTTCCTGACCAATACCTAAAAAGCAAGAGTTAAAAGGGATGGCATCTCTCATATTATTTTTCATGAAATAAAAATAGCTACTTCCTGAAAAAAATTCTAACTGCTCATTAGTTAATCTCTATGAGATTTGATGTGAATGAATCAAAACTGTGCTTTGGCCTCTGACATACAAATGCGTTTTTTATTTCTGATAATCAACTGTGACTTGTTTCCTGAGGTAGAAATCCTTAAATCCTAGACTCATAAAACTATATAGACTCAAAACAGAATTTCATAAAATGGTTTGCCAGACTAAGGTGGTCTGTATAATGGAATGCCAAAGTCTTCCAAGACTTTCAAGTTAAGAGTCAACTCCCAATATAGATTCAAGTCCAAATAAGAACTCAGAAAAGTTAGCAAAATTCTGTTTGGTGGAAGAAAACAACAGATTTTATGCCTATTTCTTCAGTACTGTTTAAAAAGATGTGAAAGTTGCTGACAGGGAAGTAATGATGCACACTGGCATGAGACAGTCCTTTTCTCCAGAGAGAAAAACATGCCCTGAGCCTGACATGCCAGGTATACCATCTGCCCGCTGGTATCTATTATGATTTTTCCTTCCCCCTGAGTATTTGAGAGTGAAAGCAAGAATGAGAAGGAATATTTTGAGATACTGAGAGTTTCCAGCTTTCAAAGTGCTCTAAGATGGAATTCTTTGATGAGACCAGAAAGCACATGAAAACATGAAGCTGAAACTGCTGAGAGATATCAATAGTTTCATCCAGATGCACACTGAAGAGTAGTATTGCTATCTAATTTTTTCCCAAATCTGGAGCAAGTAATCAATTGACCCACCCTTTCATGTACCTCATTAATTCACGTAGCACACACTTTTCGTATTTGTGTGCTTTTGCTCTTAGTATTTGACCCACCAAAAATATTCTCTTTCTCCTCATATCGAGTGAAATGCTGCCCATCTCTTAAGACCCACAGGAAAGCCAGTCTCTCTTTCATTGTTTTCCTGTATTGCTGCAGTCTGAAATGATCTATTTCTTTCCTGAACTACAATGGTTCTTGTCTCATTTTTTTTAAGATGTTGTTCTGAGACTAAATTTCCAATATGCACCATGATCTGTAATTTTACAAATACAGAAAGAGCTGTGGTAATATCTCTACCATTTTGAAAATCTATTTTGTCACTATTAAGACAAAAACTCATCCTCTGGCTAGAGAAAAGGCACTTATTGTTACTTGTATGACTGATTCATCTGAGTCATTCTTTTATATACTCATTTTCATACAAGAACTTTTGATTTGTCAATTGTGTTTCTCAGATCTGCAATGGCACTGCTGACTGCTAAATTCACCAGCATTCTAATCTTATCCTTGGATTTTCAGTCATTATCCCCCAATACCATGGCCATCTTACTACTCTAAAATGCTATTATCATTTTCAAAATAACTTTCCACCTTATGATGAAGAATTTCAGTAGATCTTAAAATGAAGAAAAGCAGTTGAGTCACACATGCCATCTTCTACTCAAATAATATATAAAATCAAAGCACTCTAGAGCTGAGTAGAAACTTCAATATCATCTCTTCCACAGCTTCATGTTGCAGAAAAGAGAACTGTGGGAAACAGGAAAATTTGTGGGCCAAAATCCAAAATTTTAAAATACAAATCTCAAAGATAAAAAATAGTTGTAAAATCATAAAGTCTAAAGATATTCTGATTAGCTCAAAAAACATTAAGGCTGAGATTACAGTAAATGTACATGACATAGATCATTCATATAAATGATGCAAAAGAATGCCTTTGCCATTACAAATAACAAGGTGGATTCAAAACTAGTTACGTTAATAGTTACAATTTACTATACACCAAATATGTTTTCCATATATTAACTCAATTTTATCAAATGAAACTGATTTTATTTAACTCTAATTGAAAAAATGTGATGAGATTAATCTGTACCTCTGTAAGAAAATAAAAAGAAACATAATGTATCTGCAGCCTAGCCCAGTGGTGGTGAATCTATGATACGTGTACCACAGCCAGCAGTTTGTTGTAAGAGAAACGTCTAAAAGGTTCCCCATCACTGGCTTAGTGTAACAGAAAGAATCCTCTGAAAATTGAAGGGCAACTATACTCCTATGGGAAAAATGAGTATGTCACACTGAAATCTGATTCAATGCTTACCCAGGAACCTTCCAGTTGTAGTTTTGAGTATTTTGCCTAATAGGATTAAATGCACTGACCCATAATCATGAGAAACCATTGTGCCCAACATTCTTCACTGCAAATTAAAGAACTGGCCTTGTGATATTTATACATACCAGGATCTAAGATGCTGGTTAGAGTGACATAGTTCTCTAGTACCTGCCTTAGAAAGGAGTGCCATGTCAGAGTTACCTATGAGGTCTGGCAGTAGGCTAACCTGCCCTTTCTTGCTGCACTGTCTCTGAACTATAATTTCATGGGATTTCACACACACACACACACACACACACACACACACACACACACACACACAATCAGAAAAGGAAATGACAGAAAAAGAACAAAATATAGTATTGTTTCTCCATGTTCCTGAGCACTACCATGTAAATTTATAGCTTAGTTTTTTTATAGCAGAGAATGCTGAAAATGTGTTTTTAATGGTGCAAACAAGTATTATTTTGCTTATTAAAATAATAAATAACCAAAAGTTTCAAGTAGAAATCGGATCAATTTTTATATAACATATAAACTACTATATAAACTTCAAAGAATAAATATAAAAATGTTTCAGATGTCCACAACATGGTTACTTAGGATTTTGTTTAGGGTAGTTTTTAGTTTTTTTCTTTTTCTAAAGAGAAAAAAAGACAGTTTCAAAACAGGGTAGTAGGAGAGTAAAATAATTAATACATTGTGTATTGTTATTTCATA